GATGGACAGAAATTGAGTCAGAGATTTTAGGAAATAAATAGCTAAATGAAAATTAAAACTTTGACAATTAATAAAGAAAAAGTCTACTTCTATGTTTTCATGTTTTCAAAAATTGTTTATGACAATTTTCATTTTTTACTGAGAACATATAAATTGATCAAACTAACATACCAACTTTTTTTTATATTCTTAATTTCTAATTTATGAATTGTTGTGCTTCAAAAATATTTCTGATTAATTTTAGATTACAATTTTTATTGTTTGAAACCAATTATGCTAAATACAAAAAACAAAGTCAATTTTTTTTATCTTCAGTCATTTATGATTTTTTAATGCAAAATTTATGCTTTCGAAATAAATCATGACTAATTAATAGATTTTTTATTTTGGATTTTCAAATTTATTAAGAAATATTGTCCAGTCAAATTTTCTTTTCCCATGTCTTTATGCTTTCCTTTCTAATTATAATTTTAGATTGTAAAATCAATTTTAAATGTCCAAGTTATGAATTTTTAAGGCTTTTAAATTTAATTAATGAAGCAATTTTTAAGAGAAATCCCATTGGTAGATGATCTAGAGTAACTTGAAGTCTATGCTAGGGACATAATTATAAATTGTTTTGTCACTGGTTCTAGTATAGTTCGATTAATGCTCACTTTCCCTTTGGGATGACGCATAGCGACTTTCTTTGGGCTACATAAACGCATGTTTTGTATGGCCTTCGTACCTTGAATTCAAAGTGTATTTTTTTCATGGTTATTGATATGAGATCTCATACATTCTAATAATTGTTGTACCTTAATTATATTAGTCTTTCAGTTCTGTATTTTTTTTTATTATTGAGAATTCTGGTATTTGATTGGTGGGGAACTACTAAATATGGTTAGAGGCTTTTTGGAGAGTGGAGAGAAACTTCATTGTGTGAAGTTCTTGACTCGGCTGGATTGCTGACTGTTTCTTTGCACCATATTTATTGAATCCAAAAATAATGTAAATCAAGCAGATCTATACTCACTTCAAAATCTTGAAAATTAATTTTTTCCATTGCATATTTATGCAATTATTTATGTGACCATTTATTTCATTTTTATGTGCAACGCACATAATTCAACTAGTATTATATTATATTACATTATATATATTATATATTTATATCTTTTCCAGTTCCTCTTGTCAGGGTTGATCCCACAAAGGCACGAGGAAGACAATTTTACTTTGACTGCACCACAGCCTCGCTATAGTTCTTCTTCCAAAAATTCTACATTATATATCA